CTGTCCACCGCCATCTCCGTGCTCGTCACTGTTTATTGCCGTCTATGTGCTCGTCACTGTTGACCACCATCTCCATCTATGTTTTTGTGAGTGAAGAAAAAAAAGAGAGATATGAGCGTAAGTGAGAGAGGGAGGGGAAAAAATATTTATCAAGAAGGTAAAAAAGTCTTTTTAAGTTAAGAAAGAGAAGGGGAAATTTAGATTGGTGGTAGATTTTGCAAGATTAAAAAATTGTGGTAGATTTGATAAGTAATTTCAAAATAAATAGTAGATTCCATAATTTTCTTTTATTTATTTGTATATCAGAACTTTTTTTTTTCCATAAATTCTCACATTTTTTTCTAAAGTGAAGTCAATTTTATTTTTCAGGGACATACCAAGAATTTTTCCAAGCTTTATCAAATAAAAAAAGAAGATTAGTCATCGATCAATTGAGTAAATAGGACAGAACGTTTCTCCTAAAAGTAGTAACGGAGTGTAATAATATTTTCGATCCTTGGACAAAAACTTCTTTCTCCTTCGTCCATTCGATCTGTTGGGATACTCTCCGGCATGTCCAAAGAGTTTCAACAACTCCGAAAACCGACATCATTTCTTTAACCATCAAATGTTATATTGTGTTTCGTATTATTTCTCGACCAAGTCCCATAAAACCGGCTCTCCATTTAATGCGTTATATAGTCCTTGGAGGACACACCTGTTTTTGTCCTTCCAGAGATCATCATATATAACCAATTCTTGTGACATGAGGCAATGAAAAGATGGATACATATCATATTATACATTCAATGAAAGGTGGACTAGAGTGAAAAACAATATCCTAAAAGCATTTTCTAAAAAGTATGTATATATATGCCTTATTCATTGTATAATCGAGGTGCATGTATTGTATGGATTAATCATCAAAATTCAAAACCGCTTTCTTACCATTCGGCTTGTGTAAGTGAACTAGTGAATACGGCTATACCAAATAAGCCAATTAAAAAAAAAGTTTTATTTTAGATTTCAC